AAATAACAATAACATTTGACAGCAAGATGTGATTTTGTATTCTGTATATTGTATTCTTCTGTTAAGTCATATCAAAACAAGAAATGTTATTACTAATACTTTAACCCAAAAATAGTTTATCATGATAAACAAAGTTTATATGTGTTACATGTCAAATAAAGATTCATGTATCATTATATTCATAGGAGGAGGACTCAATCTGCATGTCCAACACAGGTAGGGAGGAAAACAGAGAAAATGTTGTATACAGCAACCGATTAAAAAAAACACAAACATTTCCACTTTCCCAAAGAATACTGTTAGCAAAGGTAGATAGCGTCTGGAGAAGTGCTAATATCACCCCTGGGATGGGCTCCACATTTTGTCACACATCCTGATCTGAGTGCAGGGTCAATCCATACACTGTTACTCTCCTCCACAGCAAAACAAATATTGCCTAAGCTTGTGGGACTCACTGTGCATGTCTGTTGCATCACCACAGATTGTCCGGCTAATATCAAGCAGGAGTCTTAGTATGGATGCCTGGTGCTCTAATACCATAGTCCTACACTCAGTATGAAGAAGTCTGACTGTTGAATACATGAAAATGATCATAACATACGAATATGTACCCAACACACTGCTTGAAGTACATGAAGTAGGTAAGAACAGTTTGAGAAGTATTTTGCTGATTTAGAATTTGCACACTTGACTTAAAGCAGCATGACTAATTACTAACGATTCAGAACCATGTATTTTAACCATTTAACCAAGCATTAGTGCCACCTAGGCCAGTGTGCTTGATGTTAAGCTTTACTGGGGGCTAAACAGAATCTCAAACATTTCAAGGTGTTATATAAATGTGTTATCATAAGACAGACTAAGGGTTTCAGATCGGTTACATTTGTTTCAAGCAATTCTACTGAGCCTGTTTAACTTCCTTAATTCCTACCCTTGCCACAGGCTCACCACTGGCTTGTTATTCCCTTAATTACTAAAGTTGTTTACACAACACAGGAAATATTTACTGTCCACAGACATTATTACATCATGTGGGTTAGTATTCAGCTTCCTGCTGAAATTACATACTTCATAATAACATACTTACTTGTAACCATTTTAGAGACATATGAATGGACAAAAAAAGATCTTCAACAAATGAACGAAATTATCACACTGGAAATTTCCACTACAACCAAGCCCTGCCAAACAAAGTGCAGTGAAAGTGGCAAGTTAACACAGGACCTTTACACTGGCTTTAAGCCAATCATTCCTGACAGAAAAACTGTCTTGATTTATGAACATGATTGAAGAAGGAAATGTTGAGCTAATTTTACCGGTGCACTGGATTGTTTTGCCACAGGCTAAAAGATAGAGACAGAGAGAGTAACATGTGTGTAAGCTTTGCTTCTGTTGCTAGTCTGTAGAGGTAGGGGCAGAGCATCATTAACCTCTGTTGAAGAGTTTGGAAATAATCATCTGTACCAGGTACAGGCCATTTTCTTTTCAGCTCGGAGGAGCCCTCAGATTTTTGCAAATAAAGAGAAAGAAGGCGTTTTTTCAACCTAAACATACCAACCAGGAGATACAGGATTATACATGTTTGATTCATACAAAATCTACTTTTCACATTTCAGTATATTACCAAATTTACCATGTTAAAGAATCATCACAAATTTAGGCAAAAAATATTCTTTAAAAAAAAACAGCTGTGGTTATTGAAGGTATTTTAGAATGACAAATATGAAAGTCCACATCCCAACTCTGTAAAGTTTCTTTCGGCCTAGTACTAGCAGACAGCTCATATATCAAATAAGGAGTTGTATTTAGTTATAAAGGAAAAGAAAAAACACAATAAGTCTATCAAATTCAAAAGTTCTTTTAAGCTAAAAAAAGCTATTATGAATCATAAATATGATTTCTTGTTTTAGTCGTCAAAGACACTGGTGTCTGACCATGGTGACACAGGTAGCCTATGTGTTAAATAGGTAATCTCATCTCAGGAATATGGGACACTACCAGCCACAGTAGTGTGGATTTCACATGACTCACTTAGCATGCTCAGCTGGGCTGATAAATGAATGCTATCTGTGGGACACTTCACAAACAAATCCTCACAAAGAGTGAATTGTGAAAATCGCTTCCTCAGCAACTTGTTGCAAGCAGAACAAATCCAAGTCATCTAATAAACATAAACTTACACTCCCATGTTCACAAACCAACTTTTATAAAGAGAACTATATTATACATGAAGTGTTTCAGGTCACTGACCCCTGAAAAAATTAATTGGGCAGTATGGCTCCCTGGCTCGCTATTTCTGATACCTGGACCACACTGTTTTCAAAGGTGATTTTCACCTGACTGGTAAAAGTATTAACACCGATCTGAAGCTTGTGGCCTAATGGTCTAATGAACTTCTGAGGCCATATAGTTCTTTATTGACTATTGCTTATCAACCATAAAAATATTACTTGTGCCACTTGCGATTTTTGCCATTTGTTCAAAATCTGGATCCACTAAAATTTCTACAGTCAAGCAAGCCTACAGTCTTTGAAACTAAGGGGGGTTCCTGGGGTCCTTCAGGTTTGTTCCCATAATATCTGAATCTATCTCGAAATTTCCTAATGTCTATCGGCATTAGTGTTTTAGCATAAGGACCCCCAGACTGTTTGTGTATCATACATTCAATATGCTTACTCGTGTGAGTCATCCTAAGCGAGAAAGTGAGTGTGGTTTTACGCCACTTCATACATTGTTCCCATGTGGGGCATCGAAACACGGACCTTCAGCAAAATGAGTAAACACTTTAACCACTAGGCTACCCCACCACCCCTAATAAAAATGGATGAACATAATTAGATCTGAACCTCTTTAACCAAACTGACACTACTCTGGGTAGGTTTGTGAAAACAAATCAAACCATACTCCCATAAACATGCAATGTCTGACGGACATAACAAATATTATATTGAATCTGAATTATTTAAATGGATTCTTAAACCTAACAAACAATTATATGGGATCATTATACTTTCAATGACTTTGGATGACAAACATAACCTTGAATAAACCAATCCAAGAACAACAAAACATGACAATTAACATGTAATCAACAAGATCAGGAATAGATATCAGGTGAAATAGAAAGATTAATTCTCTTTGCACCAACTTAACAATTACATAATTGGTGAGCACACAAACAGAACCACCAGTCATAAATTCTTCATTGGAGATTGTGATCATTAAAAGGCATTAAATGCACTTCAAAGCTCCACAAAACTGGTTACCTAACATCCTAATACACACATCACTGGAGGTGGTGTGGCTGAGGAGCTATTTAGTCTCAGATATGGCTCAAGATCTGCAAGTCAGCTGATACAACGATACAGGATTGTGACAGACTGTACCATTGCCCAGCCTGGAGCTGTGTGCAAAAGTATAGCAGTCAGCTGATAACCCAGGCCATACCAGGCCAACTGCTGGATGACCCTTGGGCTAACCCCAACAATACCCCTCTTCCCTGGCAACCCAACAATGGTACATAGTGGAGAAATAGAGTACCATACACATAGAATACATCTTGATCAATACCTACAAATAGAATGACAGACCCTGTGTATGGTTTGTCAGGAACAGCATGCAACCATGAGGCTTTTCACTCGATGACTATTATTACTGTGATAACAAATAGCGGTTGAACACTACTTTGCAACTAGCTGGAATTTCACAACCTTTATGTATTGATGATTAAGTATTAGCTCTGGATGTTGCCTTATGTCCGATGCCATGTTACATAGCGGAAGTCAATGATATCCTTATAGGTCTAGGTATCCTATAGCCGCCAAACTTGGAAAGGGGAATTTCCTTAAATGTTCAATTTTCAAGCAGTGTTGAGACAAGTTTGTATATGACATGAACCAACTTTCTGTCTTGATATGACACAAGTGTCATGTTCCATTTCATTTGAAAGAAACAAAGAAGTGTTCTTCACAATCCAGTTTCAAGTCTAATATGAGAGCAGGGAGCCAATGTGAGGCAACATCAAATCATTGATCTTGTGGTGTTGAGACATGTTATATAAGATATCAACAAGCAGTCAGTCAAAGGTGTTGGTTAATTCATGTGATCTCAAGTCGGAGAGCGGCTGCAGACTGCAGTATTGGTCAAGTATTTTTAAACACACCAGCATGGAAATGACCTGGATGAAAGTATTAACCAAAGCTTAGATTAACCGAAACACGTCTCAATAAATGCTTTGTACTTTGCTGCGATTATAAACAAAGGTAATTCAAACACTTATACTAACATTCATAATATATGTCACACAATATCACGGTCAACAAATAATAGACTATGCAATACAGAAAGCATAGGTATACAAAGTACCTGAAGAAGGCACACAAGAAAAGAGGCTTACAATGCACACATGCTAAAAGCATAAGCCAGTTAAGGTAGAGTTAGATAACATAAATCTTCAAACCCTGTATGGCACGGCTTGCTGTTACAGTCTCACTACCTTACCATGCTTACTTAGCATCTTAAGTGATCACATCATAACATCATTTTATGTTGGCAAGAAGTCTTACAAATGTGCTCTATGTATAGTTCTTAAGTTTGTATGTGCAAGTTGCAATTTCCTAAAGTGGTGCAAATGTGTTTGGTAATCAAGAACTTAAAAATTGATTTTATGTTTGATCAGTTATGCATGGCTAGCTCATAGTACTTTTGATAAGGTTTTTAAAAGAAATCACCCTGGGTGTTCTTTTCACTGAAGTAAACATATGAGGCACAGAATCAAGTATGATTCTCAAATCTCTTCTCACAGAGTAAAATTACTCTTTTCTTAAAATGTAACTATTCCTTAAAGATATGATCATGGAATTAGTAAAACTAATCTGATGTATGAAAAATATTGATAAAATAACGTTTTTACAGGTTACAAACGGGTCCAGATTACCGTATTGATTTATCTTAGGCATAAATTATGAGCAGTTATGAAACAGTAGAAAATGGCTATCTACCTGACAGACTGTCAAAACTGTGTCCATCCTCTTTGGGTGACTTCAAGTTGACAGCTAACGCTACCAAAGACCGATCTGCTACCAAATCTACCACCTGTCAACTGACTTTCCACCTGACAGTAGTACAGCATGGGTTATCTCCCTTAGTATCACAAGCGACAGACTTGGTTACATTTGTCTTCAAGACCGGAATAGTCTGTTAAATGTCGAACAATCTGTATGAAACTACGAAGAGATGAAATTAAAAGCAAGTTCAAATTCCGAAGGCCTTTAGTTGAATGATAAAGATCTGAATATCGCAGATTATGCTCATCTGTCAGCTGACATGTGTTAGATCCGTGACGTTTATCCACTTTCCATCACTCGTGGCAGACTTGTAATATGCACAAATATATCGTGACACTGTCAGGATATCTTCAAGTGAAAGTTAAGAGCCAAGTACGAAAATCGAGCACAGTTTGTACTCCTGGAGCACATCACACACTTCTTATTCTTAGAAGATAACTTATTCGATCCATTCACGGAATATATATTCCAGCTCCAAGTGATAACACGCTATGCTCCTATGACAGGCCGCAATCTATCATCCCGATTTTCGCAATGTGCAACGAAACATTAGGTACACATGAGTGACGTCCACCTCACAATGTACCCCGGCGCAAGTATGTGTGTTATATGGAACAGTCGAAGTGTACGTCTGATGTAAATCAACGGGCTCTTACACTTACCTGCATTGCAACACCGGCGAAAGGCTAAAACTGAACCGGGTCATTTAGAACTGATAGTTAAGTTACACGCGATGCTATTGGTTATCATTCGCCGAGCCTCCAAGAAGGCAACCAATCAGATTAGGTGTGAGACACATGGCCTTCACATTCATTTCTGATATAGCACGTTGAACTCTATACTACACATTTCGGCACAGTTGTAAAATGCTAGTAAGTAATTATAGTTATCTCCCGAGATGTGGTCAAGAACAAAATCGACTTAATACATTCGTTAGAACAGATCGTCGAAAGATGAGAGCCGTGAGACATGCGGAAAGTTACCTTGTGTGAAAATCATGTGTGAAAATTTCCTTGAGTCCAAGTGGGAGTGTATTGCGTCAGCGTAGCGCTGGGTCGCGATCGAGTCGATATATCCTTGTGTCCCGGTACGATGTGGGTCAGGCGTTGTAGGGGCACTAGGCACACCGCTGTCCCCCAAAGTGGTCAGTTTTTCAACACCAAGTCAGCGCAGGAGTGATCCCCACTTCAAAGAATCCATTAAACTTAAAACTTCACTGAAAAGTATAGATATTGGTTCAATGCCGAGTCTGGAAGCTCCAAGATCTCTGACGTCATGTGCTCTTTTATGGACATGGGGTTTTCTTCATTGGATTTCTGGAGGGAAGCGCTGCTATTTGTGAACTGACGTGCGTACAATACCTACGCAAATCCAGAGCACCGACGCAACGGAGCTAGTTTTTCTCGCTGGAGAAATCAATTGCCTCTATATAGAAATAGTAAATCGAAACTTTTATGTTAGGCTTTCGCATTCAACTATTATCTGTAACCGAGACATATATGCAATATAAATGAACGCGTGGGTATACTTACATATTCATGGCACGGTAGGTACTATTAACTGCGCATAGGGTATTGATTGATAATCTGATAACTAGGCAAACGGGTTACTGGAAATAGCTTTTGGTGAAGCAACATCGAACGGCCTCAGGCTGCAGTGTCTGCTATTAGAACGTTATATTAGGCTTCGGTATTTTTTAGATCCTTCGCGGCTTTCTATGTCTGAACACTGAATATCGCTTGGATGTTTGAAAGGTGTGTTTGCTGTTGTAATTTCGTCCAACATTTTCTGCCTGCTAAAGTTTTTCTAAAGGGAGAAACCACATGGAATATAACATTTTGATGGATAATCAGAAATGGATTAGCGGACAGACGCCATTTAAGATTAATGGCTTTTTGAAGCTTTAGCAAATACAATGATATGGATATTTTTCACAAAAAACTGTAAACCATTCAATTCACATTTATATATCCGCAGGGACGAAAGTATGCTTTGTAATTGTGTTCAATGACCCCCTCAAATTTTACAATCACAGTACTACTAGCAATATCAAAGACCCCTAATATATATAAACGCACATCCAATTTATATGTCTATAGAAATCTTAATCCGATATACTTTCTCTTCAAATATAAGCATGCCAGACACAATTGGGTCATCTGACATGTGCTCCTTAGCTGTCAATCACCCCATGTCGTCATTTATATGCTATATAGAACCCCGAGACCTGATAGTGATCCATGTCTTGTTAAAGAGGACAGTCCTATAACTTTCCACAATATGGCTTTATCCATATATCATTGAATCATTAACATATACATTTAAGAGGTTAGGGATTTGTACAATATGTATAGAATAATAAATACATTGACGTATTGGTTATTCCTATCGTTCACCTTGTATCCTTTCAAACACAGTCAGTTGTAAGGTTAGGAACTTGTGTTACAAAGAATGGCTGGTATTTTGTAGTGAGTGAGTGAGTGGTATTTACGTTGCTGTGAACAATATTTTAGTCTTATCTTGGCGTGTCAGATGAATGTTGGGAAATGAAACATCTGACGGAGGTATAAGCAGTGTTTAAAATTCCCACCTGCCAATCCGTCCGAGGCGGACAGGTTTCGTCCCGGAGACAGGCTGTAGTTTTTCTCAGAGTCGGTCAACTATTGAAACATGCACGTCCGATGGTCTGGCTGATATATGTTTTAGATTTAGTTAATAAAATAAAGGATATGGACTACATCATGAATGGCATTTAAATAATGATTCGATACTAATATATCACAGAAACGATATTGCAATAATTATTCCAGTGTAAAATAAATCTGAACTGGCAATCAGACAGGCTATGTATTATAGACTTGCCAGTCCGGCTGTCTGGCTGTTTTTTACTTGAATTATAAACACTCGCGAGCACGGGTATGGTTCTGACAGCCCTAGAAACATAACTGTGGAATTCAAACCCTAACTATACTAGGTGATGCTAGCAAATCTAGCCTATGGATTGTATGGTGTACAGCAGAATCTAATACTCCGTTCACATGCACAACATTTACTAACGTAAGTTATTTTGCACATGTGTAACTATACATACGTGTGTATATGTAAATTTACTATAAGTTCACTTAGGTGTGTAAATAAAGTATGTAAATTGTGTAAGGCACACATATTCGTCAGTCTGTTCACGACTTTCAACACAAAACAGGTTGTTTTCCAATCAAAGTTGAATGAGAAGAGAGTAACTTCACCGTACATTTTCGCGTGAAGCAACATGTGTTTGATTTAATTTGTTTTGACTCATTGAAGCCAAAAGAAAACATCGACGCTCAACTCTGTATATACGCGTAAAAAGTTGACGACTGTTGACGATTTGTTAAGTGTTGGCAAAAGAACAGATATTAATTAGATCATCATCTTACGTTAACATAAACGTTCACATTGCAACATATATACACACAGCAAATTTACATTTACATTTGCACCTGCGCCAGTTATAATGCAAATTTGCTCCTGGTGTAAATATAAACACATGAGTAAACGCGTTCACATGAAGTATACTCACGTGTGTATTTCTACACACGTATGCATATATACACACATATGTATAGAGGTGCATGTGAACGGGGTATAAGAGTATAAAAGTAACGGTGGTCGTAGTACAGAGCCCTGTGTCTTGAAGCAGATGATGATATACACATGTTGATGACAAGGATTAAGTAATTGCATTTAACTGACACGGGAAGATTAATGGATTTTTTTTAAATTGAACATAAGTCAAACTGTGTCCACGCATAGGACAGACATCTAGTGTTGTTTTGAATGGGAGTATTGCAATGTCTTTTGTAACAGAACTAGGATGAATGGGGTTTGCACTTACCGCTGCTTCGTGCATTAAATTAACGTGATAATACATGTGGCTGATCCCGAAATGATCAAGGACATGATATCCATTGAATAGATGCAGCGAAACTAAGATAAAACCCCAGTCGCCAGCCGAGCCATGGACGTGGTACGTTAACGTCTCATGTTAAATAGTGTATACACCGACAGAAAAGGGCCTATTTCCTGTTAGTCGCCGTTTCCGCGTGGTTCTCTGTATTCCATCACGTACAAGTAAAGGGGAAGGAAACTACAGTGCTTCTGTCTATCTGATGGGGAAGTGTCGTAACCCACACTGGCAATGCTAGACACCACAGAAAACCATTCTACAAGGAAGTAATGACTTTTCCCCAATTTTCCCCTTAAATTACCATGCTTCGTGATGGCAGTGCGTGATAGAAGCTTGGCATTAGAAGACATCGTGATTTAAAAAGTCACTTTTTCCAAATCTGCATATGCGTAAGACAAAGTTGGGAAGTCGTCGACCGTTAGGTCGACGTTGACAGAAAAAGACAGAATCATCATTCGTGTGGTAATTCAGTTGATATTCGCCATGACAAATGCACCTTCTGACATATATGAAAAAGTTAAACAAAACGTGCATATTTAACGAAAGAAAAGCCATATGAAACTTCTTTTCTAGCTCGTGCCTGCACTGTATCTACAATTACGCCACTAATTGCAACGTCTACGCCAGCGGACACTAACGTATACCACATGAAGCTGGAGTGCACATAGGCCAAGCAATTACTGGTTCTATTCAAAGTACATGTTCCAAAGGAACAACAGATTATGATCGTGAGACAGTGGGGGCTATGCCTGCTATAAGATATGATTTCTTGGACCTGGAGAAGCGTGTGTACCGCGTCCCTGTCTGGACATGTCTGTCTAATCACTGTCTAATTGATCACGTCTCATAGCTAAGCCGAACATGTATGCATGTCTACATGCATTTATTCCGTACCACACATTTGGATAATTGTCCACTGACATTTATATGACGCGGGATATCAGTCTGTCGGCAGTTATGGCTATGTTCTTCTATTGGTTTTATAAAATGCACCCACTGCACGTTATAGTGACAATATATCATAAAATTTAATTACGTTTTTTTTAACTGCTGTACTTTGATGTTTCGTGAAGGCACTTTAAATGACATCATTGTGAAACGTCACGTAAACATTATAGTTCTCGCATTTATATGAGATATGCTACTTATTCAGTGTACGACCTATAAGTGCAGAATATAAAGTCAACAAAAAGCATTGGAACAAAATATCGTCGTTAGGTGAGAGGGCGGTGATGCATGCAGAGGAAATCCTCTGGAATGAGTGAGTGAGTATGGTTTTCAGCCATTTGGGCAACAGCTCTGTAATATCACGTCGGGGACACCAGAAATAGGCCTCACACGTTAAATCCATGAGGGGAATCTAACTCTGACCTTCGGCGTGACGAGCATACTCTTTTAACCAGTGGGCTACCCCACCACTCCTACAGTGAAGTGGTTATACAATTATAATTTCAGATAATACAAAGATATGTTTGGCTATTAGGGCTAAATTGATTCTGTTATATGAATTAAAATACATGTGAATGCACATACACAGGTTGGTGAAAGAGAATCCTTTCAGCGTCCAATATATCGTAAGTCAATAGTCATTACTTTGCGTTTTCTGATTTAACGCATAAGCACACGATGCATTGTAAAGAATAGTATCTCTTTATTAAAACATCAAAAGGACATGCTTTTAGGAAGTGATAACCTCACAGCATCCGCTGT